TGCTCGCGTTTAAACCAAATAACATGCTCACAATGATTTAAATCGATTACACATAATCACATAAAATCATACGAAACAAACATGAATACATAGGTTTAAACGAAACTCAAATCGAAACTAGGGTTTCGCGTATTTACCTCTTGAAGCGTGAGGTAGGAGCGTTTAGCACGTCGAGATTGCTACGGAAACCAATCCGTACAATCGGGGCAGCAGCGGTGCAGCGGCAGCAGCGGCGCGTGAGGTCACAGCGGCGCGTGAGTTTCACGCGCGAACTTCCGGGCGGCGCGTGGGGCAGCGTGCGGCTTCGGCTCGTACGTTGCTCCTCGATTCTTCGATCTACAGTCTTCCTCCTCTCGGATTTCACCTCGTATACTTCGATCTACTACAACGTGGCACTAGACACGAAGTAGTTAGAATAAAACGGAAGAAAAGAGAAGGAAAAACAATACCGAAAGGAGAACGGCCGATGGACGGCCGATTCCGGCGACGGAGGGGCGACGGCGGCGCGGTGGTGGCCGCGGAAAGAGAGGCCGAGAGAGAGAGGGGTCGGCCGCTTAGGGTTAGGGTTTTATTGTGTGTGTGCAAGGTCTATAAATCATGTATTTATAGTCCCTTGCATAAAACCCTAGCGGGCTTAAGTTGGACCGGGCCCAACAGCTTAAGTCCGTTAGTACTTTCTCTTGCTCGTCTCTCTTAATTCAATGACCGAAAAATTGCAACGATTACATTTTCGGAATCATTATAATTCCCTCGTCATTACGAGTGCCATCTTTCATTTTCCAACTTTCCAAAAGTGGAAACCCTAGTTCAGTGCACTTTCTAAATTTGGAAACTTCCCGATTTAGAAAGTTCACTAACACGTTCGCCTATTCTTTTCCTTTTCTTATTCTCATTCGTAATTCCAAATTACGAATGTTGGACTCAATCGTATTGACCTCCAATTATGCAAAGATAAACTATTTTATCTCTGACCGTTTATTCAAAGATCTCATGTGCACGAGCAGTGTGACCCTCGATGGTTCAGGTGTAAGCTAGCCGTGGGCCCACAACTCTTTGTGGTCAAAACTCGTCCCTTAGAGTTACGATTAAGATGAAGCTCGTTTCACCTTAATCACCCAACGAATCAAGATTGGCGTCTAGCAACTACGCGTCATGATTCCCTAGATACAAATGAAGTGCCTGCAACAACCTTCAGATATAGTTAACGTACAGTACGGTCCCTTCGATACATATGTCCCGATCGAACTAGAGGCATTGGTTCATCGAAACCTCTTTATCTGTTCAATGACGGTGCGATCGTTCTAAGTGTTGTAATCCTTACGTGCATGACTTAGAGAATCGAATTCTCTAATCATCACTTAGTCAGCTCTGGCCAGAGACTTAGAATGATTACAAACTTTCAGAACACACAGGACATCCAAGACTATTCTAGCGATCGAATCCCCGACTACAATGCACAGACCTCCCACTAGATTTCGGACTGCACGAACACTGGCCCTTGGGATGGTCCTCGGTGGAACTCAGGGACAGGTCACGATACAGCTGGTCCTCTAGTGAAGTCACGGTGATGTCTAGGTCATAAGGACTAATGGTGTACAACTATACCATAGATATCTCTACTCGATTCTTGGGAACCACTTAGAGATTTCTAGTGTGAGGGAGTTCAGTGAACTCGTCAACTTACGAGCACCCACTTATGCATGCCGATATCACAATACCGTTTACTGATGAGATGCAGTACACATACACTAAGTGCTAGTCTTAATGGGAAAGGCCGATATCCTCATTAGTGGCGTAACCCTTCGACTAGGAACACGTTTAACAGTTATAATACTTAAGTAAATATCTCACGATCCTAACGATCAATTACTAGTACTTGTAATAACTGTAAGGACTATATCTATGCTTGTGACAAAGGGACAAAGATATAGAATGCCAAGGTGTTTTATCATTAATACGAATAAAGGTTCGTTTATTACAATAATAAATACGAAAACGTAAACGTCGAGTATTATTGCTACACTCCATTGTATCTTTTTTATCTAGTGTTTTTGTTGTTGTCTGTTGATGCATATTAAAGTCATAGTATTGTAGTTCGTGTTTTTAAGAATGTTGTTGCGGATGCACTTTTCCGCATGTTTTTTTACATGTACGTTTTTGTGCATTTCCATTTGAGGGAGCGTGTTTGTGCATGTTTGTTGATTTGTATTAATGTCCTAGGGTTGTAGTTTGTGTTTACATGATCCTTTTTGCGAATGCACTTTTGCGTGAGTACTTTTGTGCATGCTTTTGAACTTTTACTCATGTGCGTATCTTTTCTAGCGAGTGTTTTTGTGCACGTTTCTTGATGCGCATTCACGTCCTTGAATTGTAGTACGTATTTTCATGATCGCTTTTGTTATCCAATTTTGACCATGTTCGAGTCCGAATTTGGAATTTTGACGTTAGACGGGAATTGTAGCCCATTGAAATAGCTTTCTAATGCCACCGGAACCAATCGATTCGGAGTCGGGATGAGAGAGTTATGCTCGACTTTGTGGACACTACCAAAGATGTTGAGGGATTCTCTCTTCTAATTTTATTTTATTTTCTTAATTGCAGCTCTTTTCTTACGCTTTGATCATTTTTGCTTCCTGGACACCTAATTTTCGATTTGTACCTAAAAGATACCAAATCCACCAATAAAAACAGAAATATAAATTAATCCAAACAAAAATCCATGTAAACGTAAACGTCGAGTATTATTGCTACACTCCATTGTATCTTTTTTATCTGGTGTTTTTGCTGTTGTCTGTTGATGCATATTAAAGTCATAGTATTGTAGTTCGTGTGTTTTAAGAATGTTGTTGCGGATGCACTTTTGCGCATGTTTTTTGACATGTACGTTTTTGTGCATGTCCATTTGAGGGAGCGTGTTTGTGCATGTTTGTTGATTTGTATTAATGTCCTAGGGTTGTAGTTTGTGTTTTCATGATCCTTTTTGCGAATGCACTTTTGCGTGAGTACTTTTGTGCATGCTTTTGAACTTTTACTCATGTGCGTATTTTTTCTAGCGAGTGTTTTTGTGCACGTTTCTTGATGCGCATTCACGTCCTTGAATTGTAGTACGTATTTTCATGATCGCTTTTGTTATCCAATTTTGACCATGTTCGAGTCCGCATGAATACGTGAAGTTACTGTTGAGCAAATTAGCTACTTTGACATTGCAGCTCAATAGAGTAAACAGTGAATAAATCTAATTTGCTCGATCGTGGAATTGAGTTTGTATTTACTTAATTTTAATTATGCATAGGTGTTACTACCAATGTGTGGCGAAACAACGTTATAATCCCGTGGATTGATTGAACGAATTGAGGTAGGGGCTTTGATTTTAAAGTTTTTAATAATTGTGAATGTACATGTGGTTTATGGTGTTTGTTTACTCGCTTCAATCGATCTTTTCTGAAAGTCTTTATTTCATAGTGTTGGTTTTGGGGATTTGTTTTGATAAAGCAAAATGGTTCGAACTGGTTGTGGAAGTGTACGTGAAATGAAATTAAGTTGGGTTTGACTAGCTCCACGGTGAAAGACCGGAAACCTGCGCAGGAGGTAACTTTTCCTTCGGGGTAGCACCCCGTAAAGAGGGCAGAGTCCATGATGATCGGACTATAACGGGACTGGCTATGATTGATCGAGCTATAATGGGATCGTTATGTCCATAAGGGACTAGTGCGTACATAACATGATTTGTTTTAAACTATGAGTTTTACAAAGAAAATGGATTTTTCTTGCTCTTGCAAGAATTCTAAACAACAGCTTTTTATAATAATTTTCGTGTTTGAGCATGCATTGTAAGTTTGCATGACCCTTTGCTTTTATTAAATCTTTGAAATCATTATTCCTACGGAGCTTTTGCTCACCCCCCTACTACTTTTCAGGTGATAACTTGGATCGAGCGAAATGATTAAATCGAGAATATGTTTTGGAGTGGAATTGAATAGTAGATTCTTACGACTTTTCATGTTCATTTTTTATTAGTATGCTTGGATGTTGATAAATATGTTTGGGTTGTCGGTTTGAAGCCGAATATTTTTTGTTTTCTTTAAATTATTTTATCATAACTATGAGTAAACCGTGGGATATTGAGATGAAACTTTATGTTGGATATGCATGATTAGATTTATATTAGTATATGTTTGGCAATGAATTATACGTCCAAAGGTTATGAGATTTTACTTAATCATTGGTTTCCTTATTAGCTTCAATTCGATATAGAGTTTGCCGCAATCGGATTTCAAGTGAGTAAGTTATGAATTTTTCTTTAAAGGCTGAATTCGTTTTTATGCGAGTTTCGTATTATATTTTGAAATCTCAATTTCCCTTGTCGGATTGAAGCGATTCCAACTGTGTTTGAAACTAGACTTCTAAAACGTCATTACAGTTAAGTTTTATTCTTTTGGATGAAAATCGATTTTATTATGAAATTTCTTTTAAGTTCCTTCAGCTGTATGTTAGTTTTGCTGCCAGCACTGTACTATTTTATTGATTACTCAAAATCTGCTGAACCGTTTATAAAACTGTTTTACAGACATATTTCATAGACTGTTTACAGTGTGGTGTTAAATTTTCAGATATTTCCGACAGATAGTTTGAGAGAAATTAATTTTTTAAGTTAAAACAGCGAGGCTGTCCGATTTTCTTTAATCGTGTTCGTTTTTCTTAAATTTATTTATTATCCATGTCACAAGATTTTGGGGCGTGACAACTTGGTATCAGAGCTCTGGGTTTGAATACCTGGAGCCGTGGGAATTATAGAAGTGTGGTTTTATGTGTTTGGTTTGTTGTGTATTTGCTACTTTGGCTTGTATTACTTGCGAAAGTGTTAATTGACCAGCGTGATTATCTCGTTACCTGTTTTGCTGGTTTGAGTAAATTGGTTCATGTGCGCGATTGAATACGGTTAATTTTACATGATATTGTGAGTGATTTAGTTAATTAATGTGAGTACCTTAAATAGAGGAATGTCTACTAGAGGTAGAGGCAGGAGAGGCGGCAGCGTCAGAGGCAGGGGTGAAATTCCAACTGGGAACCCAAGTGCAAACGACAATAATGCTGGAAATGCCGTACCGGCGAATACACCAAACGTTCCACCCACCCAGCCTATCCCGGAACAATTTATGAATGAAGTAGTCAATACTTTAAAGGTGATGGCCAACGCATTTGGACAAGGAAATCCTGCACAAGTAGTTGGAGATAATCCGGCACCAGCTTCCATAGCTTTGAGAGAGTTTTTACGTCTAGACACGCCCACATTTCATGGTGAGCCAGACCCTTTAGCAGCAGAGGAGTGGTTGGAGCAGATTACCCGTAATTTAGATACTTCGAGGATCACTGATGGCGGTATGAGAGTGTCTTTTGCTGTACACCAACTGAAAGGCGATGCATACCATTGGTGGAAACGTGTGAAGTTGACCGTTGCTGATAATTTCGAGACCTTCTCTAGAGTCTTCTTAGATAGGTACTTTCCAGAGACGACTAGGGATACATTTCGACAGCAATTCATGGACCTTATTCAGGGTAATATGAGTGTTGCCCATTATGAGGCCAAGTTTACATCCCTAGCACGTTTTGCGAACGAGCTTGTTTCAACTGAGGAGTTGAGGTGCAAAAGATTTGAGAGGGGTTTGAAGATATCTATTAGGGAGCGACTTGCAGCGTTAAGGATTCGTACGTATTCTGATATTGTTGATACTGCAGCCACAGTGGAGGAGACTCTCCAGGACACAAGGAGAATTCGAGATTCTAGGCCGCAACAGGGAGGCAACACAATAGATTCTGAAGGTCGTTTTGCTAAACGACAAAAATCCTCCAACTCCGTTTCACATGCTCAAGGAAAACATCAATCTTCAAAGTCGGTTCACGTCGAGTCGATAGCTCCTACTGCACATACTCCTCAGAGTACAACATGTTACCATTGTCACCAACCGGGACATCGTCGATATGACTGCCCTCAGAGAGAGAAACGAGCTGGTCAACTTCAAAGACCCTATCAAGGGCAACCTCAAGGAATAATACAGAGTAATAGACCCCCGACATGCTATAGTTGTGGTGAAGCTGGACATATTAGTCGTTATTGCCCTCAGAGCCAAGGTACGCCGAACATGGCTAAATCATACCCGCCTACTCATTCCACACAATCCGCACCAGTACGCCAAGAGTATAGGCCACCACAACATGGACTTTCTTCTCAGCAGCCACGAACACATGTAGGTGGCAAGCAAGGCCACGGAGGTCATGGAACTCAAGGTCGTGTGTATTCAGTTGTGAGAGCACCCAATCTTGCAGAGGAATCCTCAAATCCTTCAGTCGCTCAAGGTACATTTTTAGTGTTTAATTCTTGGGCATCTGTTCTTATTGATACTGGAGCATCTCATTCATTCATATCTTTGGCATTTGCGTTATCCTTGGGTTTAAAAATTGAAGCTTTGGATGTCCCTTTGTGTATAGATACTCCGGTTAGTGGTGGGGTTACTTTAAGGGAGATTTGTAGATCTTGTGAGATAAAGATTGCAGATCATTCCTTAGTTTTTGACTTGATTATATTAGACATGGTCAGTTTTGACGTTATTCTTGGGATGGATTGGCTAAGTGCCTATCGTGCTAACATTGATTGTTATAGAAGGAGAGTCACTGTCTCGACAGCCAGAGGCAGTTATTCTTATTCTTTTGGTAATAAAAGGGATGTTCTAAATTCATCCATGAATTGGTTACGTACTAGTAAGAGATCCAATATTCTCCTTTCTATTTTAGCCGACGAAGTAGGTTCGACAAGTAAAGACCTTCCACATGTAGTATGCAATTTCTCGGACGTTTTTCCAGAAGACTTGCATGGTGTGGCACCACACCGTGAGGTCGAGTTTTCTATTGATCTTATTCCTGGTACAACTCCAATTTCTATGGCTCCCTATAGATTTGCTCCAGCGGAGTTGAGTGAGTTAAAGGTGCAACTTCAAGAATTACTAGATAAAGGCTTTATTCGCCCTAGTACTTCACCGTGGGGAGCTCCTGCTTTGTTCGTGAAGAAGAAGGATGGTCACCGGAACTAGTCGATTTGGAGTCCGGATGAGAGAGTTATGCTCGACTTCGTGGACACTACCAAAGATGTTGAGGGATTCTCTCTTCTAATTTTATTTTATTTTCTTAATTGCAACTCTTTTCTTACCCTTTGATTATTTTTGCTTCATGGACACCTAATTTTCGATTTGTACCTAAAAGATACCAAATCCACCAATAAAAACAGAAATATAAATTAATCCAAACAAAAATCCACGTAAACGTAAACGTCGAGTATTATTGCTACACTCCATTGTATCTTTTTTATCTAGTGTTTTTGCTGTTGTCTGTTGATGCATATTAAAGTCATAGTATTGTAGTTCGTGTTTTTAAGAATGTTGTTGCGGATGCACTTTTGTGCATGTTTTTTTACATGTACGTTTTTGTCCATGTCCATTTGAGGGAGCGTGTTTGTGCATGTTTGTTGATTTGTATTAATGTCCTAGGATTGTAGTTTGTGTTTTCATGATCCTTTTTGCGAATGCACTTTTGCGTGAGTACTTTTGTGCATGCTTTTGAACTTTTACTCATGTGCGTATCTTTTCTAGCGAGTGTTTTTGTGCACGTTTCTTGATGCGCATTCACGTCCTTGAATTGTAGTACGTATTTTCATGATCGCTTTTGTTATCCAATTTTGACCATGTTCGAGTCCGAATTTGGAATTTTGACGTTAGACGGGAATTGTAGCCCACTGAAATAGCTTTCTAATGCCACCGGAACCAGTCGATTCGGAGTCCGGATGAGAGAGTTATGCTCGACTTCGTGGACACTACCAAAGATGTTGAGGGATTCTCTCTTCTAATTTGATTTTATTTTCTTAATTGCAACTCTTTTCTTACCCTTTGATCATTTTTGCTTCCTGGACACCTAATTTTCGATTTGTACGTAAAAGATACCAAATCCACCAATAAAAACAGAAATATAAATTAATCCAAACAAAAATCCACGTAAACGTAAACGTCGAGTATTATTGCTACACTCCATTGTATCTTTTTTATCTAGTGTTTTTGCTGTTGATGCATATTAAAGTCAAAGTATTGTAGTTCGTGTTTTTAAGAATGTTGTTGCGGATGCACTTTTGCGCATGTTTTTTTACATGTACGTTTTTGTGCATGTCCATTTGAGGGAGCGTGTTTGTGCATGTTTGTTGATTTGTATTAATGTCCTAGGATTGTAGTTTGTGTTTTCATGATCCTTTTTGCGAATGATCCTTTTTGCGAATGCACTTTTGCGTGAGTACTTTTGTGCATGCTTTTGAACTTTTACTCATGTGCGTATCTTTTCTAGCGAGTGTTTTTGTGCACGTTTCTTGATGCGCATTCACGTCCTTGAATTGTAGTACGTATTTTCATGATCGCTTTTGTTATCCAATTTTGACCATGTTCGAGTCCGAATTTGGAATTTTGACGTTAGACGGGAATTGTATCCCTCTGAAATAGCTTTCTAATGCCACCGGAACCAGTCGATTTGGAGTCGGTATGACAGAGTTATGCTCTACTTCGTGGACACTACCAAAGATGTTGAGGGATTCTCTCTTCTAATTTGATTTTATTTTCTTAATTGCAACTCTTTTCTTACCCTTTGATCATTTTTGCTTCCTGGACACCTAATTTTCGATTTGTACCTAAAAGATACCAAATCCACCAATAAAAACAGAAATATAAATTAATCCAAACAAAAATCCACGTAAACGTAAACGTCGAGTATTATTGCTACACTCCATTGTATCTTTTTTATCTAGTGTTTTTGCTGTTGTCTGTTGATGCATATTAAAGTCATAGTATTGTAGTTCGTGTTTTTAAGAATGTTGTTGCGGATGCACTTTTGCGCATGTTTTTTTACATGTACGTTTTTGTGCATGTCCATTTGAGGGAGCGTGTTTGTGCATGTTTGTTGATTTGTATTAATGTCCTAGGATTGTAGTTTGTGTTTTCATGATCCTTTTTGCGAATGCACTTTTGCGTGAGTACTTTTGTGCATGCTTTTGAACTTTTACTCATGTGCGTATCTTTTCTAGCGAGTGTTTTTGTGCACGTTTCTTGATGCGCATTCACGTCCTTGAATTGTAGTACGTATTTTCATGATCGCTTTTGTTATCCAATTTTGACCATGTTCGAGTCCGAATTTGGAATTTTGACGTTAGACGGGAATTGTAGCCCACTAAAATAGCTTTCTAATGCCACCGGAACCAGTCGATTCGGAGTCCGGATGAGAGAGTTATGCTCGACTTCGTGGACACTACCAAAGATGTTGAGGGATTCTCTCTTCTAATTTTATTTTATTTTCTTAATTGCAACTCTTTTCTTACCCTTTGATTATTTTTGCTTCATGGACACCTAATTTTCGATTTGTACCTAAAAGATACCAAATCCACCAATAAAAACAGAAATATAAATTAATCCAAACCAAAATCCATGAAAACGTAAACGTCGAGTATTATTGCTACACTCAATTGTATCTTTTTTATCTAGTGTTTTTGCTGTTGTCTGTTGATGCGTATTAAAGTCATACCTACGCGCGAACTGGGCACTACCAATGTTGTTGCGGAGGGACTTTTGCGCCTGTTTTTTTACATCTACGTTTTTGTGCATGTCCATTTGAGGGAGCGTGTTTGTGCATGTTTGTTGATTTGTATTAATGTCCTAGGGTTGTAGTTTGTGTTTTCATGATCCTTTTTGCGAATGCACTTTTGCGTGAGTACTTTTGTGCATGCTTTTGAAGTTTTACTCATGTGCGTATGCTTTTCTAGCGAGTGTACTTTTGTGCACGTTTCTTGATGGGCTATTCACGTCCGTATGAATTGTAGTGAG